CAATAAAAATTTTGATATTGATATTACATTTTATTTATTTTATTTATTTTATTGTATCAAGTAATTTTTGAAATAATATTTCTATACTATAGATAATCTTACTAACAGTATCTATTATCTATTACGTGGAATTTATTTTATTAAGTAGAATTTATAAATTTATATCTTTTTTCAGAAGAAAGAACCAATTGGATATTACCATTGACCGCAGGAGGATTCATACATATTGGTTTAGTAACCATCCTGCCCGATTTGTTAAAAGAAACGAATACAAAAGAGTCTTTGAAGCAATTTGGCGCTTTACTTTTGGGAGTTGTTATCATGGCTGCACTGATCTTTATTTAGGTCAAATATATTTCATTAAAGAATTAAAGCGAATTCAATTACCGCAGTGCATATTAAAGCCGTTATAAATCTAATTTGAGTATAAAAATAAAATATAAATATTTTAAATGATGCATATATATACATATATATACATGTGTGTGTATACATATATATATGTGTGTGTGTGTATAAGATACATATTTTAAACAGCACAATAAAATCTAATGGAGCTTTCGCGAATTAACTCGTTTCTTTCGTTACATTTATATTAAATACACATCTTTATGTTAATTTGTGCACAACGACTTTATATGCACTAAGTGTATACAATCGAATTCGCTATTAGCTATGCAGAGAAATTCTATTATGTTGATGTAAATTTCAGTTATGTGCTATCACTGAGTTGATAGAAAAATGACACGTCTTAAAATTACCAACTTTTCACATAGAATATTTTTACAGTTCTGAATTGGAACAACACTTTAATTAGAATAGTGAATATGCAATTTCTATAGCTTTCCTTCTATATTGTACTTTCAATTATAATATGACCTTTAAAATTATATTACGAGTTTTCAAAATTTGAACACTGCAACCTTAATCCTATAGTACATATATATTTCATCCCTTAACAGAGTTATATAACTTTTCCATATAAACAAGTGAACTACAAATGTATCGTTTTTTCCACAAAAATATATTTTTAGGGTCACTTTTCTCTCATCTAAAAAAATTCTAATTTTTTTACTTGTATCGCTTTTCTATCAATACAGCGATATGTATCAGTACAATGTGCTCTGAAGTTGCCATAAAGCATAAAACTATATATAATACTTTTTCTCTCTATATTATTTAATGAAAGAAAACTTGTGCACGTGGGGAATGCCTTAACACATGAAGTTGCACGTGTATAAGAGAACGTATGAAAAGAAGTGAGAAGAAGGCATGAAAAGGCGTGTCAAGACATTCTTGTTCCCATCTGTACACACAGTGCAGCGTCACAAATGCCTTAACGCTTTAACATGCCTTTTTATGCCTTCTCATTTTTTCTGATGCTTTCTCATTTCTTCTCCGATATTCTCGCGCAACTTCGCATGTTAAGGCATTTGTGACATGTACGTACAAGAGTGCTATGTCTTATTTTGATGATTATTTTGAATTTTGAGAGTACGTAAAAATTTTTGTTTAAATCATATATAAAAGAGTCTGTTGTCGCTGTTCCTCCTTGATAATTCAATTTTCATTTCGAGATAAGCAACAAGGGCTAAAAAATTTTGTACTAAGAATATTTTTCAATACTGATGAAATATTAGTCTGAGATTATTGCATTCTTTCAGTGAATACTATACAGAAAGAAAGGGGAAGAAAGGGGTGAATAAGTGAGTAAATGGGTGGGTGAGTGGGTGAGTGAGTGAGTGAGTGAGTGAGTGAGAGAGAGAGAGAGAGAGAGAGAGAGAGAGAGAGCGAATGAAAATCAAAAACAAAGAATTTGTATATTATTTTATCAGAATTAAATTATTTATCGCGTTGTGATAAAATGACGTAAAAAATACTGTTATATCTCATAATTTATATTATAGACACATAAATATATAAATTTTTCATAGCTAAGATAATATTAATATTATTTTCCAGTTTGTGTATACTAATAATTTTTTTTAATAATAAAATAATTGATTATCAGTTAAAAATTTAATTTAAAGTATTGATAATTTTTCATAATAACGATTGAGATATGAATATATAATATATTATAGGTTTATGCATATTTTGAATTTTTTAATATTTCCTTCGTGCTATGAATATTTGGGGTGGCACCCAGTTGGACACGGCTCAATTGGACACGAGCCACTCACAGCGCTTGAGACTACAAAGCTCCTAAGCACCGGTCGCTGTGATTGGTGGTGTCCAATCGAGCCGTGGTCAATCGGGATCACCCCAATATTTGCTTCAAAATATAAAACTGTTTTCATAAATAATTAATACCAAGTATAAAGTTAATTATAAACCTAACCTGTTTCCACATTATCCAAATTTTTAATTCTTTAATTTAAATCATAAAATTTTTAATTGATATTGTTTTGTCAGTAGAAAAATACTGGGTAATATCAGTTCTTTATATGTTTCATATCTTTACGATAAAACTCATATATTTATGTGTCTGTCATAAATTATATACAACTGCACAACAGAAATTCACATTATAGTTATCTTATCATTAATAATGTGGTAACAATTACATGTATGTATGTACATACATGAGACTATAAAGAAAAAAATTACAACAGCGTTAAATAAGTACCTTTCTATTCATTGCAATTTAATTATAATGAAACAATATACAAATTCTTTCCTTTTTCTCTTGCTCTCAAATTTGATAAATTCCGAGTTTAGATATAGCAACCTTTCTAACTATATTTAATAAAACTTATAAAATCGCGCGTAGAGACGTGAGATTTTGACTAAAATCTAAATGAGTAGACAAAATGAAATTAATTATGTTCCTTTCGTCTACGTCTTTTTACTAATTAATATTAAATATTCACAATATATTCTTATATTTTGTTACAAATATTTACAGCAAAAAGGAAGCTCCAAGAAAAATTCAAAGTATGCATAAACCTCTAATATATTTGCATCTTCATCAATATTAAGAAAAATTGTACGGTGATAATATATATTTTCATTAAGATTAAAGTATATTAAAAGACATAGTTATACAGGGTGTTAGTCAAATATGTTCCCAAACTCAACAGAGCGATTCTTTGGTTTATTTCAAGTAAAAAAATCCATATAAACATGTGTCCTAAACGGCTTAGTTTCCGAAATAAAAAAATTTAAACGTATAGTAATAATCTGTTTATTTAAAAGAAATACAACTTGAACTAGTCAAAAACTAGTCAAAAACAGAAAAACAAAAACAGGCTTCAGTTCTTCTGACGAAATAAAACAAAATTAGATGAATTGTTGAAAATGTTCATCTTGCGCCATGATACATCCATCGAGCCTTCTTCTCAAAGATACCAGGTGTGTTACGTATTGCCTCGCATGAAGCAACTATTCGATTCCTCAAATCATTCTCATTCTCAATTAGGGTGGACATATCTGCCATTTCAAAATTTGTAAACTTAGGCATGATGAAACCGATTTTGATGGATTGAAACAATTTGGCCCGAAAACGTATGTACAAGCTAACTAACCCGCAGCAACGTCAGGACTGAAATCTATTTTTGATTTTGTGACTTTGACTTTGACTTTGACTTTGTCACTTTGTTTATGGTTGTGCGAATAGTAACTCACATGAAGCAAGGCTTATTTATGCAGAAAGATATCTCCAACGCAATTTATCGTTTCGTCAAACATTTGCGAACATTCACCTGTATTTTGGAAACTAAGTCATTTAGGACACATGTTTATATGGACTTTTTTACTTGAAATAAACCAAAGAATCGCTCTGTTGAGTTTGGGAACATACTTAACTAACACCCTGTATATTGCGTTAAGTATTGGTATATCCATAAAAGATACTTTATTGCGTATCTTTTTCGGATCGAGCTTTGTATTCATTAGATATTTAGACATATATAATTCAGATATAAAATTTAGATAAATATACCTACGGGATATAAACTTTGTTAAATTTTCAATTTGTAAAGACGAGCAGAACTTTCAGAAGGAATTTAGCTGTTGTAATTTTCTCTCGGTAGCCTCGTGTATCATGCGTGGTGTTCATACTTCTTTACGAGTTACAAAAGATAACGCAACCCTTGTACTTAACAGGTAAAAAACAAGGTATTATTTCATTCAAATGCATGATACAAGAGTGCTCTTTCTTGCACCTGTAAATAGAAACCCTAGTTGGGGAACTGGTTAAAATTAATATCTTTTACAAAAATATTTTCTATGTATCATACAGTTATATATAAATAAAACTGTTCATATCTATGTAATCTCTAATTCACTATGATTTGTAAATAAAATATACTATTCTGCGATTGTTCATATTTTATACTTCTTTCATGTTATATATGCTACAGGAACTTTCAGATAATAACATGTGGCATAATCGGTACAAAATAATTTATTAAGTAATTATTTCTAAAACAAAAAATATAAGTTATTTATACTTGCTATGTGATAGCCAAATATATAACTAAAGTCTTATACATATTTTATGTACATATATCTCAGTCGTTTTACTTTTCAAATGATATTTTTCAATTATTCCTCACATAATGATGAGGTATACGTGAAATATTAATTGAGCTGATTAAATCAAATATCAAAAGTTCCCGTCTCTTGAAGGGAAAAACATACAGACGTTTAATTGTTTGATAGGCCAATAGAGAGGAAAAACTCTTACAATGGAAAAATTGCTATAATAATAACTAATTACTATGCAATTTAAATAATGAATTAAAGTCTAACTGATATCTAATGACTAGTATATATCATACTTTGGATGCAAGAGACGAGAACCGCATTTTTCACTGATCAATCCTGTAAGTATGACAATCTATTTACAGTAGGAATAAACACGTTTAGAATAACAAAATATTTTTTTATACTTGGATTTTCCTAAGATCTGAAAATTGTAGTTATCATTTTCATCTGCAGATAGTATTCTCTTTTTCAAGATTATTTTAATAATTACAATTTTAATTTTTTTCTCTTGACAAAACTTTTACACTGACAAATACATATTAAGTAAGCTCTATGCTATTGCACATGATTGCATATCTATTAACATAAGACTGGAATTTAATTTATAGTCTTTGATATACTTTCGTATATTTTTAGTTTTATCTTAGACATTAATTCATATTTATAGTTCATCGTGAAGTGCTTCAAAAATAGTTTCTTTTAATCTTTCAATCAGTAATATTAAACTCTTCAAAACGTCTGTTTCATCCACAGTGAGTTTAATATTAGGATTTTGATAAAAGTATAAGAGATTATTTATAACAGGTAAAAGCAAAAGTTCAATATTCTTAAATTCAGTTTTACAAATAGGAGATATCGTGATCATGCTATCTGAGACTACTTCGAGAAAATCGTTATTTTCTATGCTAAATTGGCCAGTTAACTTTTCTTTGAAGCATTTAACCATTAAGTTGCTTAGGAGTTTACAGTAATCGTGCCTCAGTAATTTTAGCTCAAAATCTGTAATAGCGTACTCCCTCATTCTCTGTTGACGCTGTTCGGCATCATGAATTTCTTCTAGGTTTCGTCTTTCGATTGTTAGATCGTTAATTAGTTTCATTGCTTTTATTTGTATATGTAATTGATCGTCATATAGAATCTTGCCAAGTAACTGCAAACCGCCATGATCAATCCAAGCTTTCTGAGCAGCAGGAAACTGGCGTATTAAGGCACTTAGAGCAAAGAGACATCTGGATTTTACTTCAATTTTATTATTTGTAGACAAGACGTGCAACACTTTTTGAATAAAATCATTTTCTAATGCCTTAGCTTGCACTTTTGGATTTGATTGGGCGGCTGCTCCTAGAAGGCGTAATGCTTCCGATTTTATTTCATTATTAGTTCCATTAAGACATGGTGATATGATCTTAGTCAGCCTACAATAAAAAAAGGTTGATTAAAATTGTATTGGTAAATTGTTGTCTCCAAGAAAAATTATATTCATTTATATTTACCCATTCATATCTGAGAACATTTTAGCATTGTCTATTTGATGAAGAAGATATTCTAAATTATTTAAAATATCTAATACTTCTTCAATCTCTATACTAGTTAACGTTCCTGTAGTGATACTACTTTTGTAAGATTGAAATTTCTGGAAAAACTTTTTTAATAATTCTGAATCGCTTGTAACATTAACTTTAAGAGCATTAAGTTCCTCTTTCAAAGTTTCATAAAAATGTTTGAAACGTTTCTCAGTTTTTGGTCGAGTTTCTCCATCCTAGAATGAAAAAGAAAAGAAAAATATAATACATTTAAAATTTTTACTTGTTAATCCTAAATTTGTAATAAAAAATAATTTACATCTGGGTAAACAATTATTAATATAATTTAGATCTACAATCAAGATGATGCAATATGTTAAAATATGGAACGAGCAAAATCTTAAACATAATTGCAATTGTTAGATGCAACATGTGTTAATCCGTTTCAATTCCAATAATTCCAAATTTCTAATTCTTAATTCTCCGTCTGTAATCACATTTTTACTTTCTCCGTCTATTAATTTGGGTCTATATCTAGCCCAAGTTTTCTTGTTCTAGGCTTTAAAAAAAAATTCAGGGTAATTTCTCCGTTACATTACTAAATAGTTTTTGACTGAAATGTTAAAACATTTATCTAATAAAACTTGAAATTTGAGCAAAAATAGGATAAAATTTAAAAGTAAAATTTTGTTTATGCTAAAAAACCCAAATCGTAAACGGAAGATTAAATATCTAAAATTAAAAAAATAGTTACATTCATGTTTGATATTTCTGCTGCTTCATCTTGCTTAAGCTTTTTCAATCTCGCTTTCAATTCGTCGATTGGAAATTTCAAAGAATTCAAAGATTCTGAAACTTTCTTTATTTTCACAGGATCCGGCTCTTCGTTTTCTAGAACTGACTTATCCGGATGTAGTGTCAATGATTTGGAATTGGATCGGTTTGTATTTTCATCGTCTTCGTCTGTGTCATCCATCAATTTAGCCTCTGTTACTCCAGTTGCAAAATTATGTCTCACATGAAGTCCCTTGGGAATAGGAGTTCCTGATAAAAATTAAATTTTATTAATCTTACTAGAGATTAGATTTTTATTCTTATTATCAGCACAAAATTTTAGGATATTTATAATTTAATCAAAAATTTTTAATTTACACGATTCTTGTATCAAAATGCGTTTGTGTGACAAAATTAGTTTTATTCATATAGTTTAGCATCATACATATTTCATTAAAAAAACACAAGCTATATACACTTTCATGATTATTGATTATTTAAAAAATTCTCATTTGGAGCTTTCTTCAAATATTTATATAGAATATTTATATAGAGCAAATTCTAATATTCATATCCATCTCAAAAGTTCCAGTAAAATTTTAATATTTGTTAAAAAAAAATCATTGTAATATGCAATCCCGAACGATTTTAATTTCTTAAGACTTTCTTGGACTATGCGTAATCCAATCCGAACGTACGTCACTGGAGGCATCATTTGGACAGGACGACCACAGAATTCTCTCTCTCTCTCTCTCTCTCTCTCTCTCTCTCTCTCTACTCTCTCTCTCTCTCTCTCGCGATTCTTTATTTAAAACACGAAGTAATCTTTGAAAATCTCGCATTACACAAGACTGCGCTCTGTCTTCTCCAGGAATGTCGAAAGGATTGGATTGTCGCATTTTCGCCGCGGAAGGACCGCACGTACGGCGGATTTGACTGACGTGGTGTCAAACAGAGCGATGGATCTCGGTGGCGTAAAGTAGTCCCACGGTCGCGGGCACGACTTTGATGAGATACTCACCCTTTTTCACCGTCTGCCATTCATGCGTTGCTACGAAAGCGCTCTCATTTTTTTCAGCACTGCCGAAAATCGCAAGCGGCAGATATAACAGCAGGATGCACGTGTCAACACGCATTCTGATAGGGACAACACGACGTCGTCGTCACCGAAGTAGAGGAATGCGTACGGCTGCGATTGTTCACAGGCGAACCGTTTATGCGCAAATCTCGGAATCGTTCGCCATCAGCTGACGCAAAAGCGACGTGAGATTGTCAGCGTGATGCTCGGCATGACATTTATCGCGGGACTCGCGAACAACTCGTTCACGTGTTGCGTCTGCTATTTATTGCGTCTGTGTGTCGACCAATGCGCCGACAGTAGTTGCACGCGGTCGCCACCAGAGCCGACCAACAGCCAATGAAGAGACGCGACGTTGCCGTATCCGTCGCATTCGAATCTTCTCGTGCATTTCGAAAAACCGAGTAATATTTTATTGTAAAGAATAAGGTTTATTTTTTTCATCGCTGCAGTGGACTGCACTAAAACTTTCCTTCTCCTTTTGTCAGGTATTAAACATATACAGGGTGTTGAACGTAACGCACGATTTTTTAGATACTTGCGACAATTAAAAAAAAAGATTGTATGGTGATTATCCATCTATTTCATGCGGGCTACAACATGCGATAAAAAAATTTTTTAAATAAAAAACGTCAAAGTTATCTTGAATTTTTTAAAAAGCACCATACAAATTTGTTCCATAATATTGTAGGGATCTTCAAGACGAATTCAACGCACTATCGAGATTGTAACTTTCATTGATGTTTTATTGATTTTATTACATAATATTTATCACAAATACTCATTAGTAAACCCAGACAGCACAGTAACATTTTAAAAATGTATTTAAAACGTACATGTTGGACGTTTTGGACATATTAAAAACATCCAGATTAGATCCATGAATATTTTAAAAACATTTCAAAAACATCCAGTGTTACCATTTTGGACTTTTTAAAAACGTCCATTTTAGGACGCAATGGACTAAAACTGGACTAAATTAATATATTAAACAAATTTTAGACCACAATCAAGACAAAATGATTATTATATGAGTATTATTATTGATTAATATATCTTTTTCCAGAAGAGTGGCATCTAGTTGGACGCGGCTCAATTGGACACGAGCCACTCACAGCGCTTGAGACTACAAAGCTCCTAAGCACCGGTCGCTGTGATTGGTGGTGTCCAATCGAGCCGTGGTCAATCGGGATCACCCCTTTCGAAACGATCACCCATCCCGGTTGCATACCGCCATCCTTGACTTCTAAAATCGTATGGAAACCGCTGCACTTTGATATGGACGAACACCTATATAATTATGGACGTATAGTTATGATACATTTGTTCAATATGGTCTTGATAGAAATTTGTGCAGTTCAATTGAACATCCAGTTAGTTACTGTGTAATATTTAATCTTAATATTATAACGACTATTTTCAGGTTAGGAAATCGTACGCTGTACTTTCACAGTACCAGTTATCATGTATATCGTCTTCGATTAGAAATCTCTACAGTCTCTCTCTTGTCGATAATAGGGGGTAATTCCGATTGACCGCGTCTCGATTGGACACCACCAACCACAGCGACCGGTGCTTAGGAGCTTTGTAGTCTCAAGCTGTGAGCGGCTCGTGTCCAATTGAGCCATGTCCAACTGGGTGCCACCCGATAATAGTACGCCGTATTGATACGTGGTTATGTACCATGATGTACCTAAACAGTATGCAGTATAGATTTTTTGTCGTTGAAAATTTTTAACACAGCACAGATGTCCTAGAGACGTCCATGGGACGTTCAAAAGACGTCCGTACGTACTAACAAAAGTGAAACTCGTGCGATCTTTAAAAATTTTCACTTGTTAAGTTAGTGAAAGCAACACGTCGCGAACAGATTTAGAAAATTTTTTGCACGAGATGAACATTTTTTAAATATCCAAATGTGAACATTCTTTGTACGTTGAATAACGTACGTTTTTAAAATATTCATACTAAGTCCATGGACATTCGGACTAAATAAAAATTAGATTTGGACATCCAATGGACGTTGTGTGCTGTGGGAAGGAATACTTATGTAAAATTATTAACTTATGTGAACAAATTTTATTGATTTTATTGATATTTAACCTTTATAGAGGGCCGGACTGGATACTATAGTAGCCAGCGGAAAACTCGTTGACTCCTCGTGACAGAAAAAATCCATCGGAGATCAATCCGGAGAACGTACCGGCCATCGAACTGGTCCATATGTACTTATAACATGATTTTCAAAGATAATTTTGAATAAAAATAGTATAATTAACTGATTTTTTCTGTGTATGACAACCGCAACGAACTCTCGTCCATTATCACTCTGCAGAATTTGCGGCGCACCCCAGTTGAAGAAAATTTTTGATAATTTGTCTGCTACGTTACAAGCATGTTTAGATTTCAACGGTCGTAAATGTAAGAATTTTGTCCCATGATCTTGATAGTTCATCAAAAAGTTGAAATCGCCATCACGACATGATTGAAAGTCAATCAAATCCACTTGACCTCGCATGTTAAATTTATCAGTCTTAATTATTGGTTTAACAATAACACCGGTTTTAGGAGCGATGCGTTTCCTAGTACAGGTTCAACAACATGAGGCAAATAAATAGATGACATGCCGTTTTTGAAATTCGCCACTTATCACGAGCATAATAATACATCATTTTGTCCCTTCCTCCGTGCCCGGTTTGAATGTGTGCTTCTAGAAGCTTGTCATAATAATCTTCAAGAGCTACCATAAAAATTAACGGTTCACTTGCGTCCTTCCTTCTCAAAATTACACGTGTTTCACTCCCGATTCTTACAAGTTGATATGTTTTATCATAATGATAATGAGATACTGATTTTTTTTATATTTCCATCCTCTAGTTCTGACAACGAATTAATGACACTTTGCAATTGATTGTTATCCCACACAGCTCTGTTACTGCCTAATCGTTGCGTTTCTTTTAATTTGCATTCAAATTCTTGGCGATTTACTGTATTATTATCATCATCCATGTTTACAGTATTAAGACAGTACAGCGACTGATTTGCCCAAACGAGATGATACATTGTTTCTGTTTGAATCGTTTATCATAATGTTTTCATTCTCATCTCTCTTATTGTAATGGCCTAAAGAACGTTCGGCGTTTAGGCTAATTGCCGGCTTTTAGCTCAACTTCCCAATTTCACCCGGCCGTTAGACAAACGATGACGTTCGATACGCAGATTTGTCTATCGGCTGGCATTTAGCGAACGGCCCAGACTTTTAGCTAACGGCCTGATTTATCTATCGGCCTATGACATATATATTGAAACTCGGCTTAAACCCGCGCGTGTTTCATTAAAGGCCTGTCTACAATACACGGAGTAAGAAGTAAGAGTAAGAAATTGACCAATCACAGTCGAA